TAATATTCTTAGAATTATTAGAACAAGAAAAAGAGAAATTTAAATATCATTTCTCAAAAGTAGTCGATTTTTACATGGACTGATATCATCAAAGTATTTTGATTTTTTTTTTTATATAAAGCAAGAAAAAAGTTTTTAAAATACTTTTTCTTATACAGTTTGACGAGCTCTATCCAACCATATATAAAACATTGAAAAAAAAAATTTATGTTAAAATTTTGAATTTCCCGCACCTTACATATTTCAATTTTTTTAAATAGTTTTGTTTTGAGACATGCATAACCAAAAAGGACAATCAATTTTTATGAACAATTATAAACAGTCAATTCAGTAAAGTACAAAACGAACATCATAACTGAATAAAATGATTCTCGCAAAAAAAATAATAATAATTTCAAGCTACGAAAAAAATTCATTTCTCTTTCAATAGAAAACGTCTTTAGAATCAGATATGTTGTTAAAGATTAGCCAGTACACAAATTTCTTGATTGTTCAAGTCTCGATTATATATACGAAATTCATCAATGGCACCTGTAAATGCTCCTGATACAATCGGTATAAGTCCATTTCGACAAGACATCGATACAAATGGACCCAATGGACTATTATTACCCAATGTAATGTATTGTGGAACAGTATAGGTATACATGGTCAAACTTGAAATACTTGCAGAAATTGCATTCAATTGTCCATTAATATAAAGTTGTAAACCATTGGATGTTTCAAATACAACAACTACATGAGTCCATTTGTTTACTGACAAAACCGGACCTTTAATACTGGTAATAGTTAAAGAAGATTGCAGCCATTGAACTACTAAGTCGCCTGTAGATGTAAAAGCAAGAAGGTCATAACACAAACTTCCATTGCCAATTTGTAAATTCGATACATGAATGAGTGAACCTCCATTAGTAAGTGTTGCTGGATTGACCCAAAGTGCAAATGTAAATGATGGACTGGATATGTCCATAGTTGGTAAACATGCAGCTTGAAAATAACTCATATTTGATGAAAAGTATAGAGCTTGTCCAAAGTATCCTTGAGATATTGTAGTTGTACCAGATGCTATTCCATTGAAAAGATTGACACTGTAATCATTGAACGTATCAACTGTATCAAATGGATAATAAACTATTAATGTTGCGTCATTATAAATCTGACAAGCACTTCGAGCAACACCAGCCGATATTGTAAAATGATCAATTCGTCTAAAAATTCGTAGATAGAATTTTTACTATATTTTTGTTTGAAATTTTACATACTGTCATAATATGAGAAGAAAAACAAGGCATTCTACCCAGTCAGACAAGATTTTGGGAAAACGCGTTTAAACACCATGAAATCAGCCTTTTTTGGCGTTTTACGGCGTTTTTTTCAAAGTGGCCGTTTAAACGCCGGTAACTTTGTTTTTCAAAGCGTGAAAACGGACAAATATTCTCTTGCTATTATATATGGCCCCATAAACACTCGAAGTAGTTACTTTAATAGTGTGTAAACGCCCATTTATTCTGATGTGCGTTTTAACGATCCCAAATATCAAGTTCTAGATGTTTTTTGGGGAAATTTTACTGGCGTGTACAGAGCGTTAAATAGATGACGTTAACACGTCCATAAATTGAACAGTTCTAGCGTTTAAACATATGTCAAATCATTCTGCTTTTTTTTTCTTTATTTATAGCGTTTTAACGCTGAAAATAGAGGTTTTTTTAGCGTTTTCAACACAAAAATTCTTAGCGCAATTCTCCCTCAAACTTTTATTGTATTTACACGGCCATGAAAGCGTGCCACGAGTTTTTAAGCGCATATTAGCGTAGTACATCAATATATTCTTTGCGTTTAAACGAGTGTAGCAAAAAACGTTTTGTTGACAGTAACATTTTTGTACCTTTCATCGTTATAACGCACATATGTTTTATTAGTCGTCTATTTTTCATCATTTAAACGGCTGAAGTGCAAAATCTTTCAACAGTTTCACGTTGTATTTATAACTACACATTAAAATTATTTAAAGTTCAATATATTATATGTGTTCTAAAAAGTTTTTTTTTCTCATATGACTAGAATACAGACTGATATTTCATATAAAAACCTCGAAGTTTTATTTTGTTTAAAGAGCGAAAACGAGACAAGCGGAATAAGAAATAATTGTTTTGGAAAAGAAAGAATAGGAGGAAGAAAACATTGTTGATATTTCTAAAAATGCAGATAATATTTATCTCAGCAAAAGCATATAGAAAGTGATGTGTATTTAAGTACTTTCTAGTGTGTTTGGAAATCGAAAAAAGTTAAGGGTGTGGGTGTGTAGCGTTGGCTGCAGTTGTAGGTATGTACTATTGTACTGCCCTACACCCACACCATTATATGTTGTATACGGCCAATGAACATACTATTAATAACTACCGAGAGTCCGTGCATACCGTACGGCTAGTTTCTCCGTTAACGTATGACTTCAGACGTTTAGTTTTTCATCCGATAAGAGACACAGTTACGCGATATTACGTATATAGATCAAAGCCTTATCGCCTCATGCTCTTATACCCTTGGGCAAAAGTCTTTCTCCCACCTCTTTTTACAGCACAGCTTTCTCTATTATCATAGGGACAAAACATGGTGTTGTGTGGACCATTTAAACAAGAATCCAAATAACCCTTAATCCGTCCGAACAACACCATGTTTTGTCCTTGTAATAGTAGAGAAAACCTTGCCGAAAAAAGAGATGCGAGCAAAGACTTTTGACCAGAGGTATATCGCACATATTTTTATAGGCCATGTAGCCTTATATCCCTTGCATCTCTTGTAGCCATACCGCTTTATTCTCTTATACCCTTCAGAACCTATGAGCACTCTATAGAACGGTCCTTGAGGATACATGCGTGCCCTCATATAGTAGCCCATGAGAACCTACCCAGGTCAATCACACTCAGCCATAAGCGACCGTTCGTTAGCCAAATACGATGAATAACGACGACTGTTTACGGCGGCAGTAAACGATGCTTTACAGTATATTACATCAATCGTACACGCTACCCGTAATAGCTCACCGTAAAGTACTACTGTAAGAATACGGCGACTGTATACTTTGGTCGGAAAACAACGTAAAGTATCCTATACGTCAACCATTTTCGATTGCTGTTTACAACAGTCGCACCTAATGCATTACGCCAAATTACAGCCACTATAAACATCAGCCGGAAACTGTCACTAGAAACGACCAGCGTGGCAACGCGATGGCTATATACATTAGTAATATAATACGTCGTAAGACACCTCCATTTTAACAGATCAATCAAAGGCTGCATTTCTGTATCTCTATGAAGAGATAGTAGGGGACCCACACATATACCCATCAATCGATATAGCATCCCGAACAACCCTAGGATTGGCTCGAACATGATTATCACACGTCCGTACAAGAAACGAGAAAATTCCTCCTGGAATCTGATTGGTTCATTTTAAAGAGCCAAGCACAGCCCCGATTTCTATATTTCTATGAAAGGATAGGAGGGACCCATACATATACCAATCAATCGATAGAGCATCCCCAACAACCCTAGAATTGGCCCGAACACGAGTACCACTTGTACTTAGAATAAGCGAGAAAAGGCCTCCTGAAATCTGATTGGTCCGTTTTAATCAGCCAATCAGAAGCCTAATTTCTATATCTCGATGAAGGGATAAGAGGGGACCCACAGATATACCCATCAATGGATAGAGCATTGCTAAGAGCCCTAGGATGGAGGCGAAGATGACTAGTTGGCATGCCTATCAATGGGCTGAAAAATCGTCAGACAAATATACTGTTGCTTTTTTAGTATGCTGTGGTGGCATTTACGGCGGCCGTAATACAGTCCCACGACATATGGCGAAGATACGGCCATTTCTGGTTACTGTAACGCTCGTTCTGGATATAGGTGCCTCCATAGGATAGTCCATCAGGACCTATGGGTACCTCCATATAATAGTCCTTGAGGATCTATGCGTACCTCCATGTAATAGTCCTTCACGCCTTCCCCGTATAGCATTACTTGACCATTAACTCTTGACCCGGCACAGAGAAACACACAGACACGCACATACACAATGAATATTATATATATAGATTATATACATAGATAATATGATAATATCACTGGAAACAGTAAGAACGTTTTCCATCAAAGTGATGTAGCAAGATATATACTTAACAAGATCATCTTCTAGTAAAAACACACTAACAAATCTTGACACAGAATATTCTCTCATTATATCTTACAGAATACAAAGAATATAAATAATGCACATTCTTTAACTAAGTTCAGTCTCAGCCTTTTGCACTCATTGATATCAAGACAGGCTATACTAGGATAACCAATACATTCACAATCATTGTATCAGATACGAAGAATATTCATCACTGCTTTTTTAATGAATAATATAAAATGTTTCAATCAAAGTGAAAACGTATAATATGTTTCTAGAAGCACTTCTAAATATCCAGAAAATGGAACCACTATCTCTCGAACAAACACAAACTAGCGATATCGCACCAAATTATATAAATATGTTCAGTATTTCTTATACAACTGTCCTTACTAGCTTCAGTGACAAACGAAAGAAATCAAACTCGTATCCTAATACACATAACAGACTTCATTTCGCAAAATCGTTTCCATTCTGAGATATATGGAACAACACTGATAAGCATTACTTCACTATTACTGCTCATAAATAACAGCTACCATCACATGAATAAATACTAAGAAATTACAGATTTCTCTTACTCTA